TCCTTGTTTATGTATTCCTGAAATTGAAATACTGTGATGGGCAGGGGGGAGCTGCGGACACAAAGGACCAAGATCTCCATCTTCCTCTCCAAGCCCGCTTGTACCAGCCTTTGCAAAACCCTCCCCACCAGGAGCCTGACCCTCAGAAGCTTTGCAAACTGCAAGTCCATGCAAAGAAGTGCCATTAGCAGCAAAACCAGCTCAGCATCCAGTGGCTGAGAGGAGGACCAACCATTTGGTTTCCTCCTTGACCTTTCTGAAAGCCTCTGGTTCTCCTAATACATTACAGCCAATTTTCTTGGCTCCACCAGGATCCCACTGATGGGTTTTTTGGATGTTGACCAGTTGGTTTCTTTTTCTTTTTCCAAATAAGTGTATAGATACCCCTCGGTCAGCCCAGGGGAATGATTTTGTCTGTTGCAAGAAGGTGTTGCTGATGCACCAACAAGAATTCGGGCACCTGCTGCCTGTCTTTTGCAACCTTCCTCCTAGGGTAGGGAGAACTGTTTACGTCCGTGTCAACTGAGGCTATGCTGGAAACTGCTGCCCTGCAATGGAGCGCATGTATGGCTGCATCTGTATGAGAGCTAAGGCCCTATCTCGAATCCTGTGTTCAGCTCCGGGCCCCTCACTACAAGAGAGACATTGAGGTGCTCGAGCGGGGCCAGAGAAGGGCAGTGGAGCTGGTGCAGGGCCTGGAGCACAAGTGTGATGGGGAAGGGCTGAGGGACCTGGGGGGTTCAGTGTGGAGAAGAGAAGGCTCAGGGGGGACCTGATGGCTCCCTCCAAGTGCCTGAGAGGAGGATGGAGCCAGGAGGGGCTGGGCTCTGCTCCCAAGGAACAAGGGATGGGACAAGAGGAAACGGCCTCAAGCTGCACCAGGGCAGGTTTAGATGGAGCTGAGGAACAATTCCTTCCCCAGAGGGTGCTCAAGCATTGGAACAGGCTGCCCAGGGCAGGGCTGCAGTCACCGTCCCTGCAAGTGTTCACACCCCGTGGAGACGAGGCGTCAGTGCCATGGGGCAGTGGTGGCCTTGGCAGTGCTGGGAACGGTTGGACTGGATGAGCTTAAAGGGCTTTTCTAACCCAAATGGTTCTATGATGCTCTATGGTGATGTATGCATGGCTCCCAGCCAATGCCTCCAAACTGCACTAGGTGCAGGGGTGGACCGCGCAACTCTGATCCCACCGGGAATCACACACCGCGTCCCCAACATGACACATCCTAAGCAGATGGTTCGTGTTGCACTGAACATAGAACATGAACGTGACTTCTCCTTTGCTTCCAAGTTTGCTTTAGAAGGGGAAAAAAAAAATCAAAGAAAGAAAAAGGAGGATGAATCACGGCTTAGTCAGAGTTGGGGCTGCCAGAGAATCACTGCTGTTGCCTGGATTTTGATGCCAAGGGAAGGGTGCTGGGGGAAGCTGGCCCCTTGGTTTTGGTAGGTTCTCCAAAGGGGATGGGGAATTTAGTCTGGGATTGTGATTTTGGGATGCATCCGGAGCCCAGTTCCCCCATTCAGGATGCATTGCTGTTTCATGGTTGAGCAACAGGGGAAAAAGAAGAGAACTGAGGGGTTTGGGCTTTGGTGCTTTGGAAAAGTTCACAACCTGCAAACCCCATAAGAAACTCATGTCCCATTCTGACAGAAACAGGGTTTTTCACCCTTTTCTCCCAGACCCCACTCCTTTGTGCTGCCTTTACCTCTTCACCTCACTGCACCTCTGCTTCCTTGGGATGCTCAAGGTCATTTTTTTCCCTGTCTACCACCAAGACCCTCAGTTTTCAAGCCCTGGCATTTAGAGAGGGGTATTTTACAGGGGTCTGTAGTGATGGGACAAGAGAGGGGTGGCTTTAAGATGAAAAAACGCAGATTTGGCTCAAATATAAGGCAGAAGTTTTTCCCTATGATGGTGCTGAGGCGCTGGCACAGGGTGCCCAGAGAAGCTGTGGCTGCCCCATCCCTGGCAGTGTTCAAGGCCAGGTTGGACACAGGGGCTTGGAGCAAGCTGCTCTAGTGGAAGGTGTCCCTGCCCCTGGCAGGGGTTGGAGCTGGATGAGCTTTAAGGTCCCTTCCAACACAAACCAGTCTGGGGTTCTATGATTACATTTCTACCTTCATCCCTTTGCATGTATTAAATCCTGCATGTTCCTGTGATGGGGTAGGTAACCCTCACTCCATGTCTTACCTAGTGCTGCCGTGCTCACCACCCCTTTCATCATCACTTATAAATAGTAAGGATGCTCCTTCCAGCTGACCTCGCTTGGAGCAGCTGGGTGTTCATGCCTTTGAAAACCAGGCCATGTATTTTGGAGTCAAAGCTTTCCGCTCCAGTTATCTGGGAGTTTTTAAGCCAAGAATTACGAGGTGGATCTAATCTGAAGTGACGGTGATCTTCATTCAGGCAGGGTTTTGCTTTCGGGCTCCTTTCCATGTTTTGGGGGTTGTGGTTTCCACAGTGAAATCCTGCAGGAGGAAGGAGGATGCCCGACCTCTGCAGCATCGCATCGGGTTTATTCCTTCTGCTCGTGTTTTAGCTGGGACTGGTTTCCTGTTGCCCTCCATGGATAAAATATATGGGATTTTGCAATAACAAACCCTGTCCTTTCCCAGGCCAGGTTGGACAGGCCTTGGAGCAACCTGGTCTAGTGGAAGGTGTCCCTGCCCATGGAAGCGGGCTGGAAATAGATGAGCTTTAAGGTCCCTTCCAACCCAAACCAGTCTATGATTCCCAAGGATGGATTTTGTCCAGGAAGCACCTCTTTGTGACCCCTCATCCCCACCTGTGCCAGCCAGAGCATCGCTGCTGATCCCCATCTTCCTGCCTCCATCCCAAATCTCTGTCTCCCTCATAGCAGTTAATTCATTATTCTCTTTCTGCCTGTGAATACTCTTTCCCTGCGTAGGAGAGGGAAGGATTGTGCATTTGTTTTACTCCATCCCTCTTGGCTCCATGTAAGGAGAAGGCCAAAAATATGTTCTTTCTACATCTGGTATAAAAATATAAGCCCTATATAATGAAAAAAGGCAACAACGGGAGACTTCAAGTAGCTGAGATGTTACTCATCAAGATCTAAACTCACAAGCAGGCTTTGCTTTATTAACACTGCTGCTTCAGGTGGTGCTACTGCTGGGCTGACAGAGGCAGCCTGGTTTAAGTGGGGAACATGACTGGGGGCAACGTGGCCATGGGAACAATAATAATTAGGCTAATAAAGTGATGAAAATCATTAAAATAATTGAAAGAAGAATAAAAGTAATAAAGAAGGGAATAGTAAAAGGAATAAGTAACAAAATAATAAAATATGGGTAAGAACTTAATAAAAATTATAATTACTAATATATACATAAGATTAAAATAAAAAATAAATAGTAAATATCAGAATAACGTGTATTTTATTGTTATGCATAATTTTAGAGGTAATAAAGTGATAAAAGCAATAAATAATATAATAGGAAAACATAGTAAAAGAATAATAAAAATAACAAATAAGGTAATAATAAAATATAAGTAATGAGAGAAATTAATTTCATAAAATACAAGTGATTAAATAATAGAAATAGTAAATAGTGAAATAATAACACTGTTAAAAGACAAGTAATAAAGTAATAAAAGCATTAAATAACAAAATAATTAAATGTAGTGAAATCCTATGGATAGTAGGCAATAAAATAATAAAAATGAGACAAGTAATAAAATTATGAGAGTAATAAATATTGAAATAATAGCAGATAATGTAATAGAAATAAAAAATAATTAAAATAACAAATGTCACGGTAACAAGATGTATTTAAATATAATAACGATAATAATAAATATCATACTAGAATAACACAATGTAATTAATAAGGCAATAAACCCAATAGCAACCCGGTTAAGGAGACCCCGCTCATTGACCCACCCGGGGGGCGGGGCCAGGCGAGCAGGGGGCGGAGCCTGTGGAACGTTCCCGGCCCCCGCGACGTGAGCGACGTGCGGACCGCAGGCGGCTGCGGGGCGGGGGGACCGCAGCATCCACCGGGGCAATGGTGCCGCTCGGGGTGGTTTCGTTTTGCGGTCCCTCCGTTGAGTTGATGTGATTTAACCCCTGGGTTCGCGTTCTTCTTGTTTCTATTTTAATCGTTTATTTTTTTTTTCTTAATTTATTGTTACTTTTACCTTTATTTTTATTTTGTGTTTCGTTATTATTTATTTAATTTTACCTTTCGTTTATTTTTTATTATATATTACTTATTTGATTTTAGCTTTTTATTTTTCCTTATTTAATTTTCATTGTTTTTATCTATTTAATTTTAACCTTTATTTTAATTTTTGTTTCATTCTATGTTATTTAATTTTACCTTTTGCTTTATTTTTATCATATTTTGTTTTATTATTGATTTTATTTTGCCTTTTGTTTTTATTGCATTTTTCCTATACTTTTTCTTTTTTCCTTTATCTTTTTCTTTTCCCTTATTTTTTCTAATTTTCATTGCTTTTCCTTCCCCATTCAGTTCCATCCTTCCCATTTCATTTCCCTCCCATCACTCCATCACACCGATTTTAACCTCCCCCCTTTATTTCCACCATCCTTCACCCATCTCCATCCCTTCCAGCACCGCTCCCCGTGTCCCTGTATCCTGCCCTCCCCATAATCACAAAGCCTCCCGGCGCCTCCTTTGTCCCCGCTGCAGTGCGGGGGGCCGGCGGCAGGCGGCAGCGCGGGACGGAACCAGCCCGGCCGAGGCCCCCCCCTTTCTTCTCCTCCTCCTCCTCCTCCTCCTCCTCCTCCTCCTCCTCCCTCCGCCCCGAAGGGCGGGAGCGGCGGCCCGGCCTGCCGGGATACAAATAGCAGCCGCCGCTGCCGCCGCTCCATCGTGAGTGGAGCCGGGAAGCGGGAGCAGCAGCAGGAGTCGCGTCCCAGCCCTCCCCTGTCTGCTCACGCTGAGATTTTTCTTTTTCCCCCTTTTAAATTTATTTTGATTTTTTTTTTTACAAAAAATAAAAGGGGAATTAGGTGGGTTTTTTTTAGCATTTTTAATTATTTTTTTTTTCGCATCCAGACCACGAGCACCGGCCGGACTCGCCCTCGCTCCCCCCGCGGTGCGCGCACCGTTCCTGCCGGCTTTGTGCGCTGAAGCCCCGTCCCTCCTCTTCCTCCTCCTCCTCTTTCTTCCCCTCCTCCTCCTCCGCCGTGCAGCCTTAACGCGACTCCGAGGAGCATCCGAGAGCACAGCAGCGGCTGGTCCAACCCTCCCCGCAGCAAAAACCCTTTCGTTTTTGCTTTCCCTGCGTGTTTTTGACCCTTCCCGCACTCGCACCACGCGGAGCGCCCGCTGCCTCCGTGTTAACCATGCCCATGGAGCTGACTCAAAGCCGCATCCAGAAGATTTGGCTCCCCAATGACAACCGCCCGGCGCTGCCCCGCCGCTGTGAGTACGGCACTGAGGGATGGAGGGATACGGGGGGTATGTTGGGAGCAGCCCCCCGGGAGGCCTCGACGCAAGGCCCCCTTTTTCATTTTCCCAAAATATCCCCTCCACCTCCTCCAGCATCATCCCCGTGTCCGCATCCCGCCCGCTGCCAGCCCGTGACTCACTTCCAGCTCGAGGAGATGGAGGAAGGTGCAGGGATCGCGCCGCTGCTTCCCCTGGAGCGGGAGGCGTTGAGACACGCGTGTCCCAATTTCATCCCCTCTCCGTGTCCCACGTCCACCACCACCCCGCCTCCTTTCAATCCCTGGGAGGATGGACCACCAGGATACCACCTCTGCTGGGATTCCCGGTGTCTGACATCTTGCTATGTGATTTATTAATTTAAGGGGGAAAGCAGCATCATGTCAATGAATTGAGGGGAAGAAAAAGCCCAGCAGTTGCTTTGCTTCACCACTTTACCCTGTGCTGTGTTTGGGATGAGGCGGGGAGACTTAGAATCATAGAATCGTGGAATGGTTTGAGTTGTAAGCGTCCTTAAACATCATTTAGTTCCACCCTCCCTGCCATGGCAATGAGGGAATGCGATAGGAGGTTTAGGATGAGAGAAGGCAGGTGGAGAGGAGGGCTAAAAATGCTGGAACCTGTGCAGTGATTTCCCATCTTATCAAAGCTTGGGATGCACCTAGAGTGATTCAAACCAACCTTTGCGCTTAAAATAATAGTAAATAGTAATCAATGCTTCGGCATCCCGGTGTTACTAGAAACCAAGTCATGAATCATAATCCAGTGCTAAAGCTGAGGAGACAGCTCTTTTAACTCGCCCAGCAGCCAAACTGACAGCCTGCCAGTTACGCAACTGCAAACAGGAATCCTCAGAGCTGCGGCAGCCAGGACGGAGAAGGTGGCACTTTGCAGCCTGGCGAAGCATGGAAGTGGCTCGGGCGGTTGGGTGAATCAGTCTTTCCGATGCTTTTTTTCCTGAGGCAGGCGTTTGAAACAAAGCCGCTCCAGCCGTTTATTTCCCTTGGCCCGAAAGTTCCCGGTTCCCCCTTTTTAAGATGTAATAATAATTAAAACGAAATATCCCCGTGGCTGTAGGTCGGGCACGCAGCGATGCCCGCACATGCTGAGGGAGCTGCGTTCAGCAACAGGCTGAACCATGTGGATTGCCAACGGGGCTTTGGTTTTAGCGAGGGGAAATGTCTCCTGGCTTAATGATTTGCAGATGGAGAGGGTTGGTTTGATTTTTCCCGAGGAGTGACACCTCTAAAAGGAATCCTTTCTATATGCAGAGCTTTATTGGTTTTTTTGCCACTTTATTCACCTGGTTTCTCGGAGCTCCGAGAGAATTCCCTCATGGCGGAGGGGAAAACTAATGCCTTAATATATTAAGGCATCAAGGGGTTTATTAGCGCTATAATGTGCCTTATACTTTCTCGGGGTGGGAGCAAGCCATGCCGGGCACTGTTCAATGGGAGCATTGTGGGCTTTTTTAGGGTGGTTATTTTTGGACTCGAAGTAGCTATTTTAAACTCGAGGTGCTGTTAATTCCTTACAAAGCCGGGTGGGAATGGGAGCTATAACGGAGATGCGAGGTCAGCGTGGTTGGCCGGGTGGGGTGGAGGAGGAAGGAGTGGGAGCATCCCTGTGAGCATCCTCAGAAAGCTCCCGCTTGGCTGCTCCCTGAGTGGGGAATAATCAGTCCGATTGTCAGCCTCCTCATCAACGGGAGGCTGGAATGGATGGGAAGCGATGCCTTCATGTGGCCTTTTGACGGCGATCCATTAAATTGCTGTCAAGCTGCACGTCTCTCACGTAGGGGCTGGGAAAGTCAAGTCGTCGCAAGCGGCTGGATGGGCAGGTCCAGGGGAGGGGAGGGGGCTCAGGATGGGGGATGCCGAGCAGGAAAGGGGCTCCTGGAGCCTTTTTCCTTCCCATCGCCCCAGCTCCATGAGGGTGGGAGAAAATACATCAGCAAAGCCACAGCTCGAAGGTCTGGTACCGATTAACACACGCGTGTTTGCGATGGGAGCGCAGAAACGGGTTCGCTGTGCTTCCGCGAAGGTGTCCGAGAATTGCAATGGGAAGAAGGTGGAAAAGGGGGGGATGTAAGAGGATGTGGTGTGCGCTTGTGGGAGCGGGAGGTGCGGGGAGCTCTTCTTAGAAAGAGACAGTAAAAATATCTGGTGTAAGGAGGTGGCTGTTTTATCCAGCCTTTTGTAGAAGAGAATTTCCTTCCCTTTTCTGTTTTGCATTCACCCCCGTGACGCGCATCAGAGCTGATTTTGTAGCTGATAAAAGGCACAAGTGTCTGAGCTACTTCTAAAAATCCTCCTTGAGCCTTTCAAAAGCCATCGCTGACCTTGACTTACCTGGCTAGATGTCGATAACGAGTAATGAATGCGCACTGAAATCCCTGATAGCTTTTCACCAGTGGTGAAAAGAAATGATGAATTAGGTCTTTGTGGAGTGCTGAGAGCAAAACACTGTTTTCTATTTCATCCCTGATGCAAAGTTTCCTGGAGGCTTTTGTGATTTAACTGGGTTTAGGCTCATATTCCCATAAAAAGTAGCTGCTCCATGCCCTGGTGTTTTGGGAGGTGCTTCCCGGGTCTGTAAACAGGTGCTGTTGCACGGTCCTAGCAAACCGAATTGAGGGGCAGATTCCTCAAACACAGGTGTTTAACCCTTTGGAGATGGGATGTGTGCACAGCTGTCTGGAGATAAAGGGACACGAACAGTACCTGCCAATATCCCTATTGTCCTGCAATGCTGTTATTTTAATGGCCCCAAATCCTCTTGGCTCCGTTCCTTGAGATCCTTTGTCTGTGGGCAGGTAGGGAAAGGAGGAGTGTCTATTCAGGTATTATTCCTTCCCCCTCCCTTTATCTAATAAGTGGCTGTTTTGTCATGCGGACTCGTATCCCCAGGTTGATTGAAGATGTGAGGCTGTTAGAGATGAAAACAGTATTTTTCTGGGTACACTGCACATGTATTTGGATACATGCTACATGGCCCATGCGGTGTGTCATCTAGATCCATCCCTTGATACCTCAGTACTAAGAGAGATCACTGCTTGCTGCTGGAAGCAGTAGGAGCTGGTTTGGGCTTTTGAAGTGTGGTGTTGCGGAGGCAGGTCCCACAGAGGGAGCGGATGTGAGGGCAGAGCCAGCCTGAGGAATGTGGAATATTTGGGGGGGGGAATAAAGAAAATATCTTATTAGATAGTTTTCTCATCTGTTTCTGTATGTGCTTTGGTGACCTAATGATGGGTGGCTCTGCTCTGCCCTGCTGAGTACCAGTGCCAAACCTATGAGCTTGGTTTCTTTAGCTCTTGGATTTTTTTTTCTTGGAAGAGGAGGGAAATTCCACGTGTTTTGCATACTCTGGATACCTCTTAATTTGTTTGCCCTTCCCAGGTCTACACTGAGAATAACATCCCCATCTCTACCCATGGGGAACCCCTTGCATCCCCAAATCACTGTCACTCTCCTGGTCTCACCTGCGGGAAGCTGGGACAAGGCAGGCAGAGCGCACTACCCAGACCGTAATTAAGCTGCATTTTATGGCTCTGCCACCAGCCACTCACTCCCTGCATTCCTTTCCCATGAGGTCTCCAGGCTCACCGGGTGGATTGAAGGGTGGCTGAGAAATCCCCTGAGGGTCTCGTCTATTCCGCCTTTGCTGGGAGGGCTCTTGGCGTGTCACTCGCCGTGAAAGGCGGCTGGCTAATCCAAATTCCATTAGGCATCGTTGAGATCTTCCTTTCCCCCTATTTAAAGTGCTTGGCTTTGTGCCTTGGCCTTTCCTGCGTGCAGCACCATGTGAGAAGCAATTCTGCAGGGCAAACCCTGGAGAGGAGCAGAGATGCTGCCACGTGTTTCCGTGGTCCATGGGGTGTGTGGTCCTAATACATCCCATGGCTCTGGGAGCTGGCTGTGGGGGGCTAAAATAAATTCCCGAGCTGCATTCCTAGTCCTGTAACCTCAGCAAATATCTCTAAAGTGAACCAGGAACTTATTTCTTAAAGGATTTAGAGAGGGAGAAGCAGTTTACCTGGGCATCCTGGCAGCTGATCTGTCTGCATGTTGGTCATGCCATTCAGGTGAATTGGAGAGGAGCTTCTTTTCACTTGCCAAGTCATCACTAGGTGATGCTTCTGGATTTATTTCCAGCTGTTTGACATGGACTCTCTTTATAATAAGAACAAAACCCCCGCTAGCTTAAAATGGGCTTATGAGGAAAAGGTGATAAAAGGAAAAAGGGATACTTTTAAGTGCTGGCGGTTTTGTAGTCATGCCCTGCTCTTCTTCAGAAACAACAGTTGGTTGGATTTGCGTGTGTATCAGCTAAAGAGCCAGCAAAAGTTTCTGGGAGATGCTTTCTGGGTGAAGATCTTGGTGTAGACCTGGCATTTCAGCATGGCAGCTGTGTCTGAAGTGTGCTGCTACAGAAACTTGGCCAAAGTCCTTGGGCCATCCTTTAGCTTTTTACAGAATTAGCCAAACCAAGGGTATGGGAGGTTTGCTTTGGTTTTGCAAATGAGGAAACTGAGGCACAGAGGTTCTGCGGGGAGTTTAGGGCTGTTGCTGGTTCCTTTCCCACTTTGCACTATCAGGATGTTCTCCTTGCTGTGGTTGTCAGGATGTGACTCCTGTCGCTTTCGTTGCATGCCACCAGGGTGAATCTGGGTTAGCATGGCTTAGCTGGGATAGTTGTGTCTCACTGGTGGGCAGCTGTGAAGCAGTGTGCCATGCCCTGACATACGCTCATTCTGCAGATCCTGTTGCAGAAATGAGTCAATGGATTCACCTCCTCAAGGTTTTGATTATCCAGATGTGTGAGAGGGATGCACAGGATATACTGCAGAGACGATGTGCATGGGGAGCAGAGGCTTTGGATTTTCTATAGCTGCTGAAGGTCTTGGGGGAAGGCTGGGTCAGGAGCCAAGTGCCTTGTAGGCTTGATATAAGGTGAGCTGGAGGATTAATGGATGCTCATGTTGCTCTTTCTCTCTTCTTCATAGCCTGTGGGCCACAGCTTGCCAATTCCCCCACTGTGATAGTGATGGTTGGCTTGCCAGCCCGCGGGAAGACCTACATCTCCAAGAAGCTGACTCGCTACCTCAACTGGATTGGTGTTCCAACAAAAGGTGAGGCTTGCACTGGTTGCCTGGGGAAACCATGAGCTCTGGCCCTCAGGAGTTGCTCTAGGAGCTCAGTGCCTTGAAGAGTGTGAGGTAGTGAGAGCTCTTTCTAAGATCCCATGAGCCTAATATCCATGTCCTCCCATCCCAGTCAGGTTCTCCTTCAAGTTGAAGACCAAGGGATGTCCCTCAGCTTTTTGCTGTAAGGATCCCACTTCTTAAGCGGGATCTAAGGATGCCCATCACTAGAAAGTGTTGTCCGCAGGAACTGCGCACCTGAGTGAAGCTATGCTGATTGACTGCTCCTGGTATTGATGGTTTTTTGCCTTTTCCACACAGTTTTCAATGTGGGGGAATATCGCCGTGAGGCAGTGAAGCATTACAGCTCCTATGACTTCTTTCGCCCTGACAATGAGGAGGCCATGAAAGTCAGGAGGTAAGTGTGGGCACTGTGTGCGTGCTTGTACTTGGGCCCTAAATGGGTGGTGAAGCCTATGGTTACCTGGCTTGTTTGATGAGAGGTAAAGAGAAAGGCTGGGCTTTAGCTTCAGTTTTCCCTGTCTGCCCAAGGAGGCCTGACTTGGGTGCCAGGAGCTTAAAACTGAAGCTGTGTGGGCTTGGTAGCTTCAGGCTCACCAGTGCATCCTCCATCAGTGGTACCCTAAATCCACCTTCAGGCTCAGTGGTGTAGGATATGAGGTTTGGCCTCTGCTGCTTCATCTACCATTGCCTCTGCTATGAAGACCAGCACACTGCTCAGCACACATCTCTTGTAGGGCTTTTTAGCAGAGTGTGTCTTTCCTAAATGTCCCTGGGGATGGGGAGGTGAGGAGGAGGAGCTGCAAAGCCTGCCCTCCTTCGTGGAAGTCTATGCAACTGGCTGCCACAAGCACCTCCGAGAACATCAGGATCATGTGTCTCCTCTTCTGCAGGCAATGTGCCCTGGCTGCTTTGAGGGATGTCAAGCTGTACTTAACAGAGGAGGCTGGCCAGATCGCGGTAAGCTCAGATGCGCTCTGTGGCGTTTGACAGCAGTCCTGGTCCTGAAGGCGCTGTGTGCTGAGGGAGGACTCGACGGGGAATGAGGCACCCTTGGTGCTAATCAAATCTTTGCTTTTAAAGGTTTTTGATGCCACCAATACCACACGGGAGAGGAGAGGGATGATCCTAAACTTTGCCAAAGAAAATGGGTTCAAGGTTGGTACCACCAGGCTGCTGCTTGTGTTGCATGGTCCATGTTAGTGTATGGGTGGGGTATCTTCTTTTGCTAATGTATTGTGCTCACAATGCTCCTGTATAAGGGAGATTTCATTGCTGGGTTTGATTGCAAATATTAAACTCTTCCTTCATTCCCATTACTGAGCTCTACGAAGAAAAGGATGGGAAAGGGGCAGAGGGAGAGCCCTTTGGTCAAACAGGGGGGAGTTTGGGTTGAGCAAGGAGCTAGCTGAATGTTACAAACATTATTGCTGGCTTTCAGTTGAGCTTTGCTTTGCAGGTGTTCTTCATTGAATCTGTCTGCAACGATCCCACTGTAGTTGCCAGCAATGTTAGGGTAAGTGTGGAAGTGTCTTCCTTTTGTTCTCTCTCTCTCTCTCTCTCTCTCTATATATATATATATATAAGAGCAACCTCACATTTGCAATCCCTGTTCCTCATGGGGGACTTCATTTACCCAATATCTGTTGGAGGGACAACACAGCAGGGCACAAGCATTCCAGGTGGTTCCTGGTATGCACTGAGGATAAATTCCTTTCTTAAGTGACAGAGGAGCCAACAAGGAGATGTGCTATGCTGGACCTTGTTATCAACAAGGAGTAGCTGACTGGTGGGGAATGTGCAGCCTTGGCTGCAGTGACCGTGAAGTGGTGGAGTACAAGATCCTTAGAGTGGTTAAAAGGAAACACAGCGAACTCATTACCCAGGAGCTGAGGAGGAGCAGGCTTTCAAGGATCACCTCTTCAAAGCTCAGGAGCTATGCATCCCAACAAAGAGGATGTCAGGCAAAAATATCAGGAGGCATGCATGGATAAACGAGTTGTTCCTTGGGATTGAGTGCGCCCTCAGCAAGTTTGCTAACACCACCAAGGTGTGTGGTGTGGTTGACATGCTAAAGGGAAGGGATGGGATCCCAGGGGACCTGGACAAGCCGTGTGTAAGGGAGGCTGTGCAAAGTTCAACAATGCCAAGTGGAAGGTCCTGCCCCTGGGTTGAGGCAATCCCAAACACAAACACAGGCTGGACATAGACTGGATTTAGAGAAGCCCTGAGGAGAAGGACTTGGACGTGTTGGCTGATGAGAAGCTCAACATGACCCAGCAGTGTGCACTTGCAGCCTGGAAAGCCAGCCCTATGCTGGTGCCTCCCTAATGTGGTTAGGGGTTTAAATCCCATCGAAGAGCTGTCAGATTTGGTGTCTTCACCCATGTGCAGCTTCCCAAAATCTGTTGGAGTCTGCTTTGAGAAGAATATCAGATCATCTTGCCTAAAATTTTGGAGACTACAGTGTAAAGCATTGCTTCCTGGCTCCTTTGGGAGCTGCTGGATCTTTGATTTCCCACCAGCAGACCTCCTTTGCCTGCTAGGCTTGACTAGGGCAGGTAGACTTTAATTGGTCTACCTAGGCATGATTAACTTGTATGAAAGCATCCTTTTCTCCACTGGGCTGTGCTCCAGCCTTATCTCCAGTTGCACATCTGAACTTTGTAGTGTCTGGGAATGCATCGCAAAATACTGAAAGTATGTGAGAAGAGTATTGTCCTGCCCCTGGGATGGGCTCCACAAAGGGTGCTGGGTTAGGGCTGGAGGATGGCTTTTGGTCTTGCTTGGAGCTGGTGTCCCATGATGCTCTTAGTGTTGAGATTGGTGTGGAAAATACGCTATCACCATTGTGTGTCACTTGGTTGTGTTACCCTGTTAGCTTCAGAATTGCTTATGAAGTTACTAATGTGTAATGCTGCTGCTCAAACCTAAATCTTCAGGAAGAATAACCTGTTAAGAGTGTTTCAGCCATAACTTAGTCCATGAGAGTTCTGAATATTCATTCACATTGTCAGTTTCCAGCCTCTTTCTAGCAAATAATGCGCAGGAAGGGGTTGAATGTTACGTTGCTGCCTCAGGTGATGGACATCCAGGTTAACCTCTAACTCCTGGGAGCTTTAGTTACTCAAAAGGCACAGGATAAGCATCTTGTCTAAACACATGCACTTTTAATTCTCAGCTTCAACTGTTTAAACCTGATGCTTTCCTTTAGCCATAAGAAAGCTCAGTTTTCCGGCTGTGTTGGGTGGTGAGGTCCTACCCCGATTCTTGGGAGAACATGAGTGGACTGATATGCATCTCTACTGGTCATACAATGGTTTATACCAGACTTTCTCAATGTGTGCTTAGAGTTTTGGGTCTAGTCTGCTTCTTTTCTCTCTTATGATAAGCAGTGACTGTAAAGTGGCTCAGCTGATAGCTGGATCTTGGCAGGACTTTGAAATTGGAGATTAGCATGGTCTGACTTGGAAAGTTTCCTAACCTCTCCTTGTGGCATGTTTTTTCCCTTACTGCAGGAAGTAAAATTGTCCAGCCCTGATTATCGTGACTGTAATTCAACCGATGCCATGGAGGACTTCATGAAGAGGATCAACTGTTACCAGGCCAGCTACCAGCCACTCGACCCTGATGACTATGACCGGTAAGAGATTTTGAATTCTGAAAGGGCTTGAATGCCTTTGTTCTCCCAGGAGAGGACTAATGAATTATGGAGCTGTATTTCACTTTGTATTCAATGTATTTCACTCTGTCTTCAAATACATGGCTGCCCCAGAATAATATATGGCCAATATATCACTATGAGTTCAAGATTCTTCATTGAAAATGCTGTTTTTTCCCAGCCCTGTGCTGGGGCGTTGGGTGCTGAAACTTTCTGTGGCTCTTCTGGGCTCAAACGTGCTGTTTTCAATCTTGTTCTACCAGTCTAAATACAAAGGCTTTGGGAAAACATTTGGGTTTGAGTGTTTGTGAGGTGCTTTTGTCACTGTCCACCTTAAAGGAAGGACTGCTTGGGCAGGCTCAAACCACAGGATTGAGCAAGCCCTGTGGTTTCCGCCTAGTTGTGTGCCCTGGGAGGACCTTTGCTGTCCTGCATGACCATGCAGGCACTTTTCCACTGCTCACAAATACATCTGTGTGCCCTGAGTGGATTACCCCAGTTCTGCTGAGCCCTGCTCTGGGGAGGAACATGCTTCCTGCTGTTCGTGTTTAATCCTCTTTACTGCTGCAAGGGAGGAATGGTGATTATACCAGTGTTACTTAGCTCTCCATGAATGGCTGTTGCTTGTTGGCTTCCAGTTGAAAATACGCTGCAGGAAATCCTTTTAGCCGAGTGATTGTTGACTGAGGTACCTCAAAAGGCTGTTCGTCCAAGATGGTGCTTCTTCCTGTTTTCCTTACTGGCATCTGCTCATCCTCACTGTGCTTTCTTTCCCTAGGGAGCTTTCTCTCATCAAAGTCATCGATGTTGGCCGGCGGTTCCTGGTTAACAGAGTTCAGGATCACATCCAGAGCAGGATCGTTTACTACCTGATGAACATCCATGTCCAGCCCCGCACCATTTATCTCTGTCGGCATGGTGAAAGTGAGTTCAACCTCAAGGGGAAGATTGGAGGTGACTCAGGCCTCTCCAACAGAGGCAAGAAGGTGAGAGAGAAGGGAATATTGCTCTGTGGCTTCTAGGAGTGATTCGGCTGTTGATGCTGCGCATTGGGTTAAGTGATCTATCTATAGAGCTGGTTATATTCAGGTTCAGGCACAACACAAGACATTCCAGCCACCAATGTTGCATGTAGTTAGGGGCTAACAGAGGCTACAGAAATCCCTAGGAGAAAAGGGTATGAGTGTCTTCATTGAGCTTCTTCAGACCTTGCACAGTCAGGGCAGGATGCAGAAGGACTGCTGCCACCCTTTGGTAGGGATAGCCAGCTCTGAGGATGCTTTCAGATTGCTCACTACTTGATTTCTTCAACGGCATGGTCAAGTGCTTCTAGGGTAGTTAATAGCTACCTTGGCTTGCCAGACCATTTTGAAGCCCAAATGGAGTCGTTTGAGGTGTGACTGTATAAAGAGATATCATTTTAGCTCGATGACAAATAAGCAGGGCTGTAGTAAAGGGTAGCCAGGCATCTAAGGTGCCCTGTTGGGAAGCTGTGGATCAGGAATCAACCTCTTGTTTTATGTCCCACAGTTTGCCCGGGCACTGAACAAGTTTGTTGAGGAGCAGAACCTGAAGGACCTCAAAGTCTGGACCAGCCAGCTAAAGAGGACAATCCAAACAGCAGAAGCTCTTCAATTGCCCTATGAGCAGTGGAAGGCACTCAATGAAATTGATGCTGTAAGTATCTTTGCATTAGGATCATGCTGGTTGCTGCTTGGCAGAGAGTGGTAGCATCAGCCTTTTCACTTTCACAGCCTAAATCTTGCTTTTTGTGGAGAGATTTTTCCTTTCTGTTGGAAAGGGTGTTACTTCTGCTGCAGTACTTGAAACATGTCTTCTTATCTTGGCATCTACTTTGTGTAGATGCTTCAAGATTAGCTTGAATGAGCAGATTAGAATGGTTTTTGCTTGGAACTACTCTGTACCTGACTACTCAGAGGGCTGTAGATGTTGTTTTGGAGAAGGTTTTGCATGTTGGGTGTGCTGATGTTTTTTAACTTGAGCACGTCCTTTAACCTCATGGATGTCCTGTTCTGGCAGGGGGTGTGTGAAGAAATGACGTATGAAGAAATCAGGGAGCAGCATCCAGAGGAATTCGCTTTACGTGATCAGGATAAATATTACTACCGCTATCCTTCTGGGGAGGTAGGTCTGCAAGGAGGCCTTCAGAGATATGACTCCTTATCTTACTTTAAACCTGGCCTTCTCATCCTCATGCTGTCCTCTACATTCAGAGCAGGGGAGCAAGAAGTGTTCCAAGAAAGTAGAGTCAAGAAAGGTCAGGGCACCTTTTGCATTGGACTCTTGTGAAATCATGGTATGTGAACATCTCATTGAGACATGTATCACTTAACAAGTAACCCCTATGAGTTTAGTAGTGGAAGGAGACTGGAGGTTTCCAAGTCCAACTTCCTCCATTACATCCACTCAAAGTGTTGCACTGCCCCGGTTTCCTTTTTCATTTCCAAAGAAGCAATTTCTACCTCTGCTCTCAGTATCATTCCCTAAGGGTTGATGCTGATACCTCTCTTTCCTGGCAATCTGCTTTCAGGGTGTGACACAATGAGGTGGGAATTGGCAGGCTGAATGATACTACAGGTTGTGAATGGGGCTTTTTATCCCCCTATTAAAGGTCGCCCCCAGAGGCATTTGGGAAAGATCTTTGGAGATACCATGACAGCCTGTCTAAAAGGAAACTGTTTAGGTGTCTGTGGTCCCTTCTGGCTGCCTTTCAGGCTCTTCATGAAGTCCCTCAAACCCCTGTTTTTTTGTTTTTAATGTTGCTTCAGACTTCAGAACTTAAAAATCCTGTAGAAAATCAGTTTTCAAGATGATAGACACTGCTCAAAGCCCCTGTGCTTACCTCAGTTACAGTCCTAGAGAGTTTAGTAAGATGTGAGTGGCTTTCTCCTTTGACCCAAAGCAGTAGTCATGTTCCAGAGCAGCCTGAGGAAGAGGATTTGTGTCACTTTGCTTGTTCTTAGCAGTAATTGTGCTGGTTTGGTCAGAGGCATGAAGTCAATAGGTGTACCAAGGCAAGGACCATTGATTCTATGCCATATCTCCCTTCTTTTCTTCTGCCTCAGTCCTACCAAGATCTGGTGCAGCGTCTAGAGCCGGTCATTATGGAGCTGGAGAGACAAGAGAACGTCCTTGTGATCTGTCACCAGGCTGTCATGCGCTGTCTCCTGGCATACTTCCTTGATAAGAGTGCAGGTGAAGTTCCTGTCCTTGGGAAGAGGATTGGTCCTTCTGGAAGAGGGATGATAGATGGGGCTCTTAGGAGAGAAGAGATGCGTTCAGGTCTGCTAAGGGCGTGAAGTATGCATCTCTTGGTTTTGGGTGGCCTTAGCTATTGATGAAGTCTAAGCCTGCTTTTGGAGAGGGGATGGGATAATCCTCCTGCTTTGCTTTCTCTGCAGATGAAATGCCCTACCTGAAATGTCCCCTTCACACAGTGTTGAAGCTGACCCCAGTGGCCTATGGTAAGGGGGGCTTTATTAACATGCCAAGGGGTTTGACTTGTCCCTCTTCCTGAATTCAAGCTACCTCTGGGAGAATAGATGGAGTCTGGGATGGAGACATCCTGTGCCTGGTGGGTTTGCTGATGGCCTCTGTTTCCTTGTGCTCCTTTCTGCAGGCTGCCGAGTGGAATCCATCTCACTCAACATTGAAGCTGTCAACACCCACAGGGATCGGCCAGAGGTGAGTGTGGCTTTTCCTCAGAGCCATCCCTTGATGTCCCTCTCCTTTCCCCTACAGTGAGCAACAAAGATGCCCAAGGTGGGCATGGGGAGGTTGCTCAGCTGGGTACTCAGGAGTGCTGCTCTAGGACCAGAGCATCAGATGCGTTCTTGTTTTGCAAAGATGTGGCCTGTTGAGGGTTTTCCAAGGGAAAATGACTATTGCATGTGCCTGCTTCCCAGTGTGTTTGCTCAGATTAAAGCTGGCCCAGGGAAAGCTCCTCCCTGGTCTTTCACTTTCACCTGTGCAGTCATCCACTCACCTGAGCAGGGAATGGAACCATGGGTGGAGAAGGTGACTTCTCCCAGGTCTCCCAGATGGCTGGCAGAGCTTGGGCTCAACACTTTGCCCAGTATTTCCTGCCTTCAATGTTTTTTTAACTGGCATGCCCACAGCTCTATGGGATTCTGTAGAGTACAGGGTGGTGCTGCTGAGCTGGTGATGGTATAAAGAGAGGAAACCCTTTATGTGTAGCAAAACTCCTATAAGGTCAGGTCCATCTGCCATGTGCTCCACCAGGAGCTCGAAGGCCAGAGCAGGGGGATGCAAGCTCAGTGTTAGGACGGGGCAATAATCCAAAAGGGACCCCATGGACCATGGTAATGCCCATGTCCCAGCCGCTGGGACCTTTCCAACTTGCGCTTAGTGGTGGCGGAGCCCAACTGGATGTTGGGTGGTTGGAGCCGTCCCCTTTTGGCACGCATCTCCTTTCCTTCGCTTCCCAACCTTGGCAGGCACCATAGGTGGGGAAGCCAGTCCTTCCCCTGCCATGGGGGCCATTGATGTCCTCCACCACCCTTGTTGGGGATGGCAGGAAGGATGTGGGTAGGATGGAGTGAGACACACGTGAAGCGCTTGACCCCCACTGCTCGGCTGCACCTCCATTCCACCTCGCTTGTTGAATTGGAGCTTGGCGTGGTGCTGACCATTGCTGCCTGCTCTGCCCTCACTTTCCAATCTTCCTTATCAGCCCAGGCTGGCTTGTCCTGCCTCTTCTTGCTTTCACACCTCTCCCTGGGTAGGAGGGATGAGCTCTGAGGAGGAGACAGATGGGCACCTCTCTGTCGTGCTAAGTCATGCTTTTTTGGCAGTCTGTATTTACTTTTTTTTTGAGGAGAAAGCCTGTCTCATTTCTCAGTTCAGGGCCTCTCACTTATTTATTTTTCCCTCTTTTCTTGGGCAGTCATGCTGCGTTCTTGAACACCTTGTGTCCACAGCCTTTCGCTGCATCCTGTATACATTGACAGTGATTTGTTGGGAAAAGCAGAGGCTGCTTTAAACAAACACAAAAACCAACCTGCTTTATTTTATTTTTTTTTCCTTTATAACTGTCGCCTTCTTACCTTTTTATTTTATTTTTATTTACTTTCATTTTCTTTGTCTCACTTTAATTTAGGAAGGAAAGAAGGGACCTAACCCGCTCATGAGACGTAATAGCGTTACCCCTCTAGCAAGCCCAGAGCCCACCAAAAAACCTCGCATCAACAGCTTTGAGGAGCATGTGGCTGTTTCTTCCGCCCTGCCAGGCTGTGTTCCTCAGGAAGTGCCCTCGCAGCTGCCGGGACAAGTTAGTTGAACTCTTTTGGTTTGCTTTGTTTTGTTGCTATTCTCGTTGTTTTGTTGTTTGTTGTCCTCCTGTCGCTCCTGAAGCTGGGGACCGGCTTGCACTTGTCGCAACCTGTGCTGATGCATCTTTCTCCTATGGCTGCTGTCCCTCCCTGCCTTGTGTTGGTGCAGGAGCATTCGGTCACTGTTGATTCTCTTGAGTTTTGAGAGTGTCATAAACCACCTCTAAAGGTCCAGGCTGTGTTAATTTGGTGCCTTTGTTATCTGACATTTGTGGTGTCGACCTCCTGAGGAGCTGTATCTCCAGAGTGGGGCTCGTGCCTTCCCCCTGGATGCACTTGGCTTTGCTGTAGACCTGGGCATTGCAATAAAGCAGATCTTCTCATGCTTCTCTCAAGAAGGAGCTGACAAAACTCATCGTTGCCTGAAGAGGTCTCTTCCTTTCTGGAATGACAGGCAAAATGGACCAGAAATGAATAGGAGCCTCTTGGCATACTGAACTTGGTTGCCTTCTGCAGCCTTGGGTGAAACCCCATGGCTAGCTACTATGATGCTCGTGTGTCCTTTCCTCTTTCACCCACCCATGAAGGGGTGTAGAAAGAGATGATACTTTGCTTGCTTCACACTTCTCCAGGAACAACCCCCCCTCCCTGTGCTCATTAAGGAGCTGGGTTGGTACCAGAAAAGCCCATATATATACATACACACACATACACATAGGACCCTCTTTGCCATGCTGCCCTTCCTGCCAGCTGCCTGTTGGATCTCACTGTCTCACCCAGCCCCTCTTTGCATTGTCTGTGTTGCCTGGTGTCCTCTTGGCTAGATCCGGGGCAGGTTAGGAAGGTTGCTGAGTTCCTCCAACCGTTCTACTTGGTGGCCGCTTTGCATGAGCCTTCCCACCCCAAGCACCAAGAGGGGCAGCTCCATCTTTCTCTTGGTTTTAAGGCTTTGCTTGGGCTGGTTGAGTCTTGCACCAAACCCTTTGCCAGCTTTGGGTTTGGAAGCTTTTGCTGTTGGTATGCCCCTTGCTCCGCCTGGTGTCATCTGCCTGGTCTCTTGTGCAGCGTTACTGACACCTGTTCTCTCTGTCTCTCTGCAGCCTTTACTAGGGAAGGCATGCCTGTAAGTACCTTCTTGCATCTTATTCCCCCTTTTACCCCTTTTTCCATGTCTCTTGCCATCCCACCGCTTGTTGTTGCTGTGAAACCTGGCCAAGGCATGGGCTTCTTGAAGTTAGTATTTCTCTGTGTGGGATTTGTATGCATCTTAGGAAGGATAAAGAGGGAGATGATGGGTGCTGCTTTGTCCAACCACTAGGTATTCTTGCTTGATTAAATGTCTTAATTTTGTTGAGAAATAAAGCAAATTACCATTTGCCCTTTATTGATAATGCCTAAATTCCCTACCTCCTTGGTTAGTCACAGGATGGGAGATGCTGTTGGGTTTTCCCTAAGTTCTCTCCTGTGTGATAGCATGGTGTACTGTAGGTGATGGAATTGTTGGGAAGGACGGGCCTCCTGGGTCTAAGTTGTGCCTATGAATAGTCTGAGAAGGTTCTGACCTCAGCCCCCAACAGGGTTTTATCACTGGCATAGAAGTGTGTTTTCTGGAGCTGAACTGATCCTGGGTCCTGGCATCTGCAGTTCTGCAAGCCTGGATTTTGGGAAGTGAGTCTGGGGACAGTGAGTTTGGGAACAGAGTAGATTCAGGGATATTGTTGTGTTCTAGCTCTTAAGAAAGCAGGATGACTTGAGCTTTTAATGTGCTAATTATGAATGATTAAGGCTTTGACAGTTTGACTTAGTGCTGTTAGGCCTTTGTGTAATAGGGACAGATTTGAAGTCTGGAGGCTTCATTCTATGTGATCAGGCTGAGAGCAGAAGTTACTGAGCTGTGCTCAAGTGTCTTCTCAAAGACCAGGGAGACTTTGGGGGCTGAGCTGAGGCTGGGGCAGTGCCTGGGGATCTTTTTGAGCTCTATAGGCCAATTCAAATCAGCCTATGGGCATCCCTGTCCTGGTTCATTTTGTGGGCTGAAGATAGAGGGATCTGCTGCAACACTGCCAGCCCAGAACTCGGCCCTGCTTACACATAACGACTGGTGAACCTCATGTTTCTTTCTCTTTCGGAATAAACAGTTTTGAGAAGCAGGATGTTAGGAAGTTCACACTTGATGGATGGGTTGGGGGAGGTCATCATGCTCATAATCCTGGGCAAATGTAGAGGTGGTGTTGCTCAGCATGGCCTGCATTCCTATGCTCCTTCCCTTGCTGCTCAGGGGCACAAAAGCCAGTGATGAAGTGTCTGGTTGTGGGTTGTTTTGAAAGCATTTCTGTTTCCTTATCCATCCCTCCACCCACCCTTTTCCCATTCATATTGTAATGAATAACAGTGCGTGCCTCAATGCTGGCTGGGACACTGAAAACACGCTCCAATGCTGACTCTGGGAGATGGCTGCATCAGGGTCTGCTAGACCAAGAGCTCTGCTGGAGCAGGCAGGGATGGTTGTGCTAGTGTGTGACTCACAGATTGCCATTGAGGGACTCATGAAGACACCCTAAGCTAAGGGCTTGGTGGCATTCATGCTGCTGATACTTCTTGGAGGCTGTTGTCTTGTACACATGACCATCCCTCACTGTGTCCCGTCACAACATGTATGGGGTGAGGGGAGGTGGAAGGTACCTCCTTCTCATGATGTACCATGGGACTTGGTTGGCAGTGGGTGCTTTGTTGTATCAGCCCTCACTGTTGGGGTCTTGACCCCCATCGAGGAGGACCAGGGAACACTGGAAAGGCTGGGGACATGGCTGTGTGCCTCAGTCCTCCTGGCTGGGGGATTGAGCTGATTTGGGGCCGTGGGACTAATCAGCATGATGACTTCTGTTCCTTTTGCTTGGTTTGTGATCCAAAGTGCACTTTTTGACGAGCTGATCCCCTCCCTTCTTCTTCCCTTCACTTTTCATGGCTTAAAGAAGACCCGTTTGTCACTTTCTCAAAGTTTTCTCTTTACTAATATTTCCAAGGTAAATGGCTGTGGTGCATGTGGCTTCTCCCAACCTTCCTCCTGTCTCCTTAGATAACAGCTCAGCCTGCTCTGCCTCATAGCCTGGTTATATTCCTGGTGCTTGTAAGAGGCAGTTTAGGTAGTAAAAGCAAAATAAGTTGAGAAACCTTCCTAGCTGCTTCCTAGTCCTTTTCTTCCTGCTCTGTTTCATGTAGTTGTGTGAACTGGGAAGTGTCCTTGTTGTGACCATCTCCCCTTGGGTTTTTCCCCCAGCCGCTGCCCTGGGGGCTGGTCCTGCTTGTGTTTAGTTGCTTGTCTCTGGTTTTGTGGTCCCCACCGCATGCTGGTGGGTGCCCACTGTCACCACTCGGCACCAGGCTTGTGTCCAAAGCAGCTCTAGGGCCTGTGAAAGCTCGTCGAGTGTCATTGGTTGCTGCTGCCAAAGTGGTGTCTGGTCCCCGTGCTGACTGCTCAGTAAGACTGGTGGGAGCAGCCTCTTCTTGACAGTGGCAAGGATGGATAAATGGTAACCTCCACAACCTCCACCTTGGCAGGCAGAGGGTTGGCACTGCCCACCCTCAATGGGAGCAAGAGAGATGTTTAATTGGGCTCCTTAACACCGGTGGTCTCCATCACCTTGCCTTGCATGGTCCAAAGAGCAGCTTCAATAGTGCAGACCAGACAGGGTGGGAGGGTTGCCTGGGGTTTAACTCAGTTTTTAGGGATATCTCTGTCGATCTCCCACCCTGTAGTTGAACCCAAGTGATGCTTGAGGGGTGTGGGTAGCAATTCAGTGTGTCCCCCCCCATCTCTCCTTGGGTGGACAATGTCCTCTCCTCTGTGATGGATGCTTTCGTAGTGACCCGTGCCGTGGCTTTCTGTTACTAGCCTTTGTCCCCTTGTTGATATCTATGTAGAAGATGGGTCTGACCCAAGCACCACCCCAACCACTGTTCTTCCCTTCTCATTTCAGAACATGAACACCTCGCAGAAGCTGTCGTGACTCCGTTGGCGCTGTGGCAATGCCAATGGCAACGCCACCAGCTTCCCATCCTATCGCCATTTCCAAAGCTTGCTTATAAACCAGTCTCCTCCATCTGCAGCGAGGTCGACCCTCATCTGTTTCTACCCGTGCCCGTTCATCTGCAAACAGCTCTGCTGAAGGAGGGGAGAGATGCAAGAGAGCAGAGGAGAGGAGCTGAGCATCCCAGGGTCACCACCAGATCTTTAGGCTGCAGCACTTGCTCTCCTCTCCAGCCTCCTGTTTAGATCCTAGCAAGCTGTAAAGTGCTTCCTAGCGCACAGGAGTTTCATTTCCTTCTGCAAGCAGTTTTGATCTTCTTTTGTAGAGATGACTGGTACCCATCCTTCTCGGGGTGGGGTGTGTATATATGTGGATGGTGCGGGGTTAGCAGAGAGATGGGGGGAAGGGGAGGGAATAAATGGGTTTTGCAGTTTTTTATGATTATTATTATAATTATGATTAATTCCTTTTCACGAAGTCGTTTAGCCAAGCTGCAGCCTGTCGCACACCAAGCCTGGCTCACCCAGGCCTGCGAGCACTAGGAAGGCAGTTGTGTTAAGTCCTTCACAGTGAAAACTTTGGGTTTAACAAGGAAAGAAGACCCCAAAACATCTTTTGTTTTACTCGGTACACCTTAAAGGGGTTTGCAGAGAATGTAGATCTGCTTCTAAAACTGGTTGTGAGCTGTCAGTAGCGTAGGGGAAGCCACACCAGTGGTGGTTTGGATGATGCTTTCATCTTGGGCAGCACCATGGAATGGTCCGAGTTAAAGCATGTGTTGATATGGGAGGGGAAACTGAGCACTGGTTGAGGTGCTGTGCTGGTACTTCATCTCCTCTTTGCTCTTCCTTAGAAGAAAGCGGAGATTTGGGGCAGTTTAGGGGTCAATCCCTGTGTCACTGCAGGTGGACAGGCTGAGCTGGATGCATTTTGCAGGCACACAGGTCTTATGGAGGTGGCCAGAGGTCTGGCTGGGATGCAGAAAGCCCTCTGTGGCTGCAGCAAGCCACAAGAAGGGGACAGTTTTGTCTGTGTTCTCTCTTAATTTTACATATATACATGCGCACACGTGTGTACGTGTGTATACCTAGAAACCGCTTGGGTTTTGCACTTTATTTGTGGCAGGAGCATAACTATTTTAGTTTTTATCTAATTGTGCCCCTTAACAGGGGAAGCCTGAATACAGGCAGCTTCTTTATTTTGCATGCTGGAAAGCTGGGACTACAAAACTAGTTGCAGCAGTCGAGGTGTGTGTGTGTGTGTGTGTGTGTGTGTGTGTGTGTTTGGGGGAGAGGTCTTGACTTGGACTCCATCAGCCAACTCCCAGGGGTTTGATATGCAAGATCCCTTCTTGGCAGCCTGTCCCAGGCTGTGAGACAGCAGTTATATGGCAATTAACCACTATTGCTTTGTGCAAAATCAGTGGATTTTTGAATATTACCTTTTTTTTTTAGGGGTTTGGGTTGTTTTGGTTTCTTTCCTCACTGCTATGTACACCATCTTCATCCTCATCATGCTTTTTCGGCTGCACGGCTGAGCTTTCCTCAGCCCTTTATGTAGGAAACAACATCCCTACAGCCAGGAGCAGAGAGGTCTGGGGAGAAATGATAAATTATTTTTTTTTGGCATGTATATGTGTTTGCAGGGGGTTTGGTCTGTTCTTCCTTTGGGAAAAGGTGAACCACAGTGCCTAGAGCTTCAGCTTCATGCTTGAAGCAGCACCAACAGCGGGAGGGGACCAGAACCACGCTCAGTCTATATCCCACTGGAGGAGATGGTCTCCAGTGCCCTGCCCGTGTGAGCTTGTGCATATGTGTATTATATTCCTGTACAGATGAAACAAAGAACACTTCCCCTCCACCCTTGCCCTTTTTAGTTTAATAATCACATTAAAAGCAGCCATCTCCCCGTGTGAGCAGTTGACATCTGCCCTTTTGGTTTCTCTGCCTTTGAGAGAGAGAGAAAAATGAGTGTTTTTGGAAGGCAAATTGCTTTTTGTCAGCCTCCTTCCTCGGGGAGTCTTATCTTTCTCCTCCTGCTATGAAAAGATAAGCCGGCAAATGCAAACATGACGTCTGGCTGCCCCGTGATCAATCCTGTACACATGTAATTCTGCAGATGTTTTGGCGTGTATTTGTGTGTATATTTATATATATATAAATATATATATAAAGAAATCAAACAGAAAAAAAAAATTGACCTTAAACTTTCTCCCTTTGGAAATAATAGAAGTCTCCATAGGTCTACAAAAAGATGAAATTTCAACTGGGTGTTTTTTTTCCAGCAAGGGGAAAATTGGTGTTTGAGCAGCAGAAAGGTCCCTTCATACTGGAGGGGTTGGTAGGAAGGAGGTGGGATGGTGTCAGCCCCATCCCATCGCACTGCCCCCCACAAACTCACTGCCCATTGCTTTTGGTTAATGGAGCCAAGGACCAGGCAGTGATGGTGGATGGGGAGAAAGGGACTTTTCAAACCACACAGAGGATTTCTTTTCCCCCCTACCTAATTGTTTTGTTTCTTGGTTTTATTTTCCTTTGTGATACTTGAATTTATTTTTTTAACTTTTGGTTTTTGATAGCAAAGCACTCTTTAATTTATTTAATGTATACTGCAAAGCTTGGAGAGAAGCGGGTAGTTCCTTGGGGGGAGGTTGATTTGTGGTATGTTAACAGTTCTGTATATGTCTGGAATAATTGCCTGATATAAAGCTGTGCCACCTTAAAAACAGGGTATGCCTTTCAGAAATTTGTATATTTTGCAGTTGCTGGACCAATAAAGTATCTTGTTGAAATACAGACATGGCCTGGTTCTTCCTTGTGTTAGGAATTACACTCTCGGGCCCATTGTGTGTGTAGCTTGTGCCATCCCGTCCTGCCTCACACGTATGTTCCTGTGCCACATAACCCAGAGTGGGTTTTCTGAGGATCCGTTTGGATTCCATTGCTTGATCCTTTCTTTCTGGCCATGTTACAGCAGTTTTAAGGTTTGTGTTATGGTGAATGAGGAGCTCATCTGTTGAGTTAAGGTTGTCATTCCTCCAACCAATTATTAACACCTACTTAAATACTCAAGCTCTGCTACAACACTGTTGAGTATACAGGTGATGTCCTGCCTAGATCTTCATCTAGGCAGCAAGTTGGGTAAGACCAGCCATTTATTCAGATATCTAGTACAGTTCCTAAACCCAAATACCTGCTAAATGAAGCCTAAGGGCTGGACAAGACCTGTCCTGAGATCACGGCTGTCTTTGCCCTGAAGGCAGGAACATAGAGGCCTCCCTCAAGCAACACTAAACTTCCCTGCAAAGATGGTTGTTGCCCTTTTTCTTTCCTGGGTTCATAGAGAAAAGATGGGGAAGAACAGGGAAAGGTGTGACTTTGTAGGGATGCTCCATAGCACATCATGGGTCTATGCTCCCCATGCAGTAGGATGCTCATCCCCCTCAAGCAGTTGTGCATCTGAAAGCTTGTTGGGAGCAAAAGGGGCAAAGAGGTGTGGACTGCTGTGCATTGCAGCTCGGCTCTGCGCTTAGCCACTGCTGGCTGATGTACGACCCTTGCTCTCATCTTCCCTGGGCTTTCTGAGCAGGTTGAACCTTTCTTTGGGCTTGCTGTGGTGCAGCCAGGGTGCTTGGGTGCCATCTGCCTTCTGTCTCCCGCTTGCTCTTTGCAAGAGGGACCCTCATGGGAGAGGGGAGGCGTCTTTGGTTTTAACCTTGAGGCATCTGCATTGAATTCTCCCTAGGTGTACGTGCAGACAGGGGAGGCTGCAGGGCAATGCCCGTTCCTGCAAGCACCCTGAGGGCAGGGAGGGCCTGTGCCCCAGAAACCACAAGATTATTACTGTTTTTCAATTATTCTTCTTTCCAATCTCCAGCAACCCGTCTGTCTCCTTGACCTAAGCCTTATTTTAGGGCATGGAGCACAGCCTTGCAGAGAATCTCACAAGGGTGCTGAGGCTTTGATAGTGCCACCAGGCACGGTGGGCTGAGATTCCGTGTAGCCATAACAGCAGCACTGCTCCTCTGCCTTCGCTGGGCTGTTCTGAGGCTGTGATAACCTTGTCCTTGTCAAGGAAGCGCAGGGGAAGGCTTTGCTCCCAGAGGCAACACTTCCAAGGCTGCTCTGTGAGAGAACAGACCCTTCAAAAAGCCTTTATTCCCTTTGAATCCTGTGTTCAGCTCTGAGCCCCTCACTCCAAGAGAGACATTAAGGGGCTGGAGCGGGGCCAGAGAAGGGCAGTGGAGCTGGTGCAGGGCCTGGAGCACAAGTGTGATGGGGAAGGGCTGAGGGACCTGGGGGGTTCAGTGTGGAGAAGAGAAGGCTCAGGGGGGACCTGATGGCTCCCTCCAAGTGCCTGAGAGGAGGATGGAGCCAGGAGGGGCTGGGCTCTGCTCCCAAGGAACAAGGGATGGGACAAGAGGAAACGGCCTCAAGCTGCACCAGGGCAGGTTTAGATGGAGCTGAGGAACAATTCCTGCCCCAGAGGGTGCTCAGGCATTGGAACAGGCTGCCCAGGGCAGGGCTGCAGTCACCGTCCCTGCAAGTGTTCACACAGCGTGGAGACGAGGCCTCAGTGCCATGGGTTAGGGGTGGCCTTGGCAGTGCTGGGGAACGGTTGGACTGGATGATCTTAAAGGGCTTTTCCAACCTGGTTGATTCTTCCTGCATGTATGGACGTGATGGGGCTTGTACCATGCCATTCATGCAGGAGATCCATGCAAAGGAAGAGATCCATACAAACATTCATGGGCCAGTTCCATCCCAGGCAGCATTCTTTTCTTCCATGTGAAGCACCACATTTGTCACATCACATTTGTAGCATCACATTTATAGCATCACAGAGACACGTTCCTCTAGACAGGGTGGCTTTAAAGGTTATGCTTGACAACGGACACATTTCCCTGCTCCCAGTGAAGTCCCAGGCTTATTTTAGAAGGATAAATAATCCCCCACCTCACTGCTAGCAAACCAGACCTGAGAACTTGTGATTGCTAAAAACCAGCAAAGGACAGACCAGTCACGCTGGCTGACTCAGCTCTGATTGATGGCTCAGGAATGTGTCTGATACGTGCAAGTGCTGGGGATTAAATAAAGCATGGGCAAACCTTGCCAATGCAACATGTTGGATGAAGAGCAGCTCACCTGCCTGCGGCTGGGGAGGGAGGGACTGCCATCACGCCATGGGATTGCAGGGGGGTTCTTTGGTTTTTCTTCGTTTTCCACTTAGGAGAAACAATCCAAAGAAATGGACATTTTGGGGGCTGCTTTGCAAGGGGAAGCAGCTTGCTGGTTGTGGCTCTAATGGGAATTGCTGTGAGGATAAATTTCTTCCCTGTGAGGGTGCTGAGGTGCTGGCACAGGGTGCCCAGAGAAGCTGTGGCTGCCCCATCCCTGGCAGTGTTCAAGGCCAGGGTGGACACAGGGGCTTGGAGCAACCTGCTCTAGTGGAAGGTGTCCCTGCCCGTGGCAGGGGTTGGAGCTGGAGGAGCTTTAAAGCTCCTTCCAACCCAAACCAGCCTGGGATTTGCAACAGCTCCATGTATCTAAATGCATTTGTGCAGTTTTCCTACAAGTACGTCCCAAGAAGGCATATATGGCTACTGAAATATGGAAAATCTGTTTCGCAGCTATGCACAGACCTGTGTAAATCAG